GTAATATTATCTTCAATATATCATACTTATCAGTCCGAGCAGCGTTTATTTATTTATAAACTACTATTACGAACTTTCATTTTGGTTGTGTCGCTTTGTTATCGAGGCTCGTCGACAAGACGGAACAGAATATCCATCTAATAGCCTGCGTGTGCTTTGTAGCGCAATTCAGAGATATTTACGTGACGAATGCAAAAGAGTTGACTTGTGCTTTATGGATACACATGCTCGGGAATTTATGGAATTCCATCACACCCTGGACGGTGTAATGAAGAGTATAGACAGACGGGGAATAGGTGTTATTAAACGTCAAGCTGAACCATACACAGATGATGATGAAAACAAATTGTGGGATAAGGTTTTTTCCATAGAGTCTGCTACAAATTTGAGTTATGCGGTCTACTTTTATGTGTGTAAAGTGTTCGCTCTCAGAGCCGTCGACGAACATAGTAACCTTACAGCCGAACAGTTCGTACAAGGATCAGACAATCAAGCTGACTATATTGAATTTAATGGTATACCGTGTAAAAATAATCAAGGACTGTATTACTCGCGGAAAATTCCGTATAAAAATGTGCGCCAATACGGTGATCCTTCCAACACGCGTTGTGTTCAGTTATTGAAACGTTATTTGCAATGTATTCCACCGAAAGGTCCCTTCTACCGACGTCCACTGACGTCCAGCGGAGGGCTCAAATTTTCTAAACAGAAGATTGGAGTAAATACTTTACGCAATATCCAAAAAGAATGTGTGATCTGGCTGGAATAGATGGGTATCATACTGGACACTCGGGTAAGGTAAGTTTGTCTCAAGTGATTCTGGGGTGGGTGGGATCTTGGGATGGGTTCAAATGTGTTTGAATTTCGCCGATTGAAAACAAATATTGTACATTGTGAAAACGTATTTCAAACGCGATGCAAATAAATGTCGGTATAATTACTTCTCAAATCATTCTTTTCATACTTTTAGGTTACTGCGGCGACTTCGTTGTATGAAAAAGGCTTTGATGAGCAACTAATCAAAGAACGCACCGGTCACAGATCGGATGATGGGTTGAGAACATATAAACGAACAAGTCGTAACAAAATCGTATCTGATGCTCTCCAACCCCCAGTACCGAAAGCAAAGTACTTCAGCCATCGTAATTGATGATTCCGATTCCGTACACAAGCCTAAGGTTGAAAGATATGAACAGCCACCGCCTGAACCAGTGACTGCAACATCACATGCAGAATTCAGAGAAATGTGTCGTTCAAATGATTGTTGTTCTAAACAAATTAAAATTAAGGTCCAGGACGGAAACAAATGTGTCAATATTGAATTGTAGTGTTGTAGTACTTATTTTTCCATAGAAAGTATAATTAAATTAGTGCGATTTGCACCCTCATTGTGATTTGTGTGATTAAATGCATATACTTTGTTTAATTTGTAATGCAAATTGTAAACGGTTACACTTCTATTGATATGTTAATTGTAAACGCTACACTTTTGATACAAAGTGTAGTATTTACACTTTGCATATGAATGAAAGTGTGACCGTTTACACTTTGCATATTTGCGAATGCGTTACTTTTTACAATTTGCATATAAATTCACCCTGTTTGCAAGAATAAATCGTTGGCGAGAACAATGATGCACGTGACCAAAAGTGGTATAAATGGAAATAGCATATGTGTGTGCGTTTGCGTGAGTGATTGGGGGATAACAGCGAAAATTATTTCCAGCTAAAATATAGTATTTTACTGTATATCAATTAGCCTTTGCGATCCCGGAATAAGATACTAGAAGTTGACTCTGAAGTACTCCTAACCCTAAGTCATAACATCTCGGACTGCTATAGTAACATTGACATGCGTGCATCAGTGTTTTTTTTTTTTTCATTCAAAAGATTTAGGGACACGGGGAAAAAAACGCGTAGAAATATTTTTGCCTTGTTTATACTCAACACAAAGTAATTTGTCAGTCGTGGCGAGTATGTGTGACAGTTTATTACTTCTGTGTGAATATAATTAAATTATGTAATTTTTGGTACGGTATCACTCTTTTGGGAAGATAATGGTGGCTCTGAAAAAGACCGTTTCGTTAGAAAACTATATGAATTAACTCCATCGATCTTAGCAGTGAAAATTACAACTCAACCTCGATTTATTCTTCAATAGCATACATACACAGTGGCAGCGGCAGCGGTCGCCCCACGAAGAAAATGTTGGGGGCGTCCACAGGGGCTTGACGATCTATTCGTCTCAATGCGTGGACGTCTGTTAGGAGTTCAAAGGGTCCTTGCGTTCAAAAGGTTCCCATGTCCCAATGAACAGAAGCTTAGGTGGTACTGCATAGGTACTGTCTGATAGCATATTTAATTCATGTTACTGCCTGCTCACCACAAATGCAGGCGTTTTACACATAAACTTCACTTTCTGAGGTTGTCTAAAAGGAAGATAAATGAAATTTGAAGACATTTGAAAAATATGAATACTTATACAAAATCTGTTCATATTAAATATGTAAATTAGACAATTGCCATATTCATTCTTTAGTAAATTGGGATTATCTCATGAAAACTCAACGGATTTGAACCAAATTTGATACGGATGCTCATTGATGTTATTTGCAGGCAATTTACATATGTAAATTAGCCAATTTGCATTTTTTCACTAAGTTTGGATTCATTCATCAACAGATTTGAAATTTGGTAGGGATATACATTGACATCATTTCTATGGCCCCTACTTTTAGAGATAATTTGCATATGTAAATTGCTTCATTTGCACATTACTAAATATGGATTATCTCAACAACTCGACAGATTTGGACGAAATATGATAGGCACATACATTGATGCAGTCTGCATCCATATTACTAGTGGTAAATATCTGAATATGCAAATTACAATACTAATGATT